GGGGGCAGGAGGAGGGGGGAGTAGAGAGAAGTTAATGAATGGGCAGATCCACCCTGATCTGTGATCTGCAGCTAGAATTGAGCAAACCTCAGCCAAATTCTTTGCAGGCAGGAAGAGAGAAACACTCAGAGACCAACTTAACTAGAAGACAGGACTCGGGAGAAGGGGGGCTGCCCAGACTTCAAATTCTGCTTAGGTCCTATGTGGCTCTCTGGCTGAGGAAAGAGAGACGTGAAGCGTTAAGGGAACACAAACACACTTCTGTGTGAGTGTGTGGAACCGTCCCACACAGACCTCACCCCGCCCTCCAAAGGAAATCGAGAAAAAACTCTTGGGATGGAGAATACAACTGATTTTTGTGCGGCGCAGGAGAGGCAAACGGCGAGAACATTCTCCTCCACCTTTAAAAGGGAAGGGTGACAAGTTTCTTCACAGGTAGCAAGGATCCCCCTGATCCTGGAAGCAGCCAGCTCAGAACTTGGGGTCTCGCTCGCCCACAGTTGGCTTGGACAAGCCAGAGGAGGGCCATGGGGGCTTTCCCGAAGCTCACGGAGGGGGCGTAAAGAAACAGAGAGGGTCCTCCTTTGGCCCGATGCCTGGGGAGCCCCTTAAAAGGGGGCTACGGGTCGGGGGAGGGTCAAGCCTAGGCAGCCTGGGAGGGGCCAGTATCCCCCTAAGCGAAGGTTGGGCGGGAAGAAGGGTTGCCCCGGAGGGACTTCAACGCAGGCGAGACACTGGGTCCCGGACAGGCACACTCACGGCGGCTCCGGGGCGGCGGTGTTACTCAGGGCCGGGGTTCGGACAGGGTCCGCTCCTCTTCCCCCGGCGGTGTCCCAGGCTCCGGCCTCCACTTCCGTCTTTCAGCCGCTCCGGATCCGGATCTCCGCCTTCGTCCCGCCCCTTCGGACTCCCAGGTGACTGACAGGGCGGGGAGACCAATGGGAGGGACTCTAGTCAGCCCACAAGTGACGCAAGCGGGGGGCGACGGAGAGGCGGGAGAAAGCACGCGAAGGGTGGTGGGATTTGTAGTTCGTCGTTCTGGGAGGAGTCGGTGGCCGCCGAGAATCTGGGTTTAGGGTGGAGTCGACAGTCGGCAGGGCGGAGCCAAACCGGAAACTTTTTAAGGCCAGCCAGCAGTTACCAGAAACCCTAGGAGAGGTGGGTTGCCGAGCACTGGAAGGGTGCAGGGGCCTGTATGTAAAGAATTGGAGAAGGGAAAACATGGTGTGAATGAACGTGCACTGGAGAGTGTGTGTGACAGTCCCGGGCGCTCGCGAACCTAACCGAGAGAAGCCCTTGACCAAGCCAGCTCTGGGATGATTCCGAGTGACATCCCAGCGAGCCCTGGGCCTCTGCTTAGTCATAAACCAGGACCTTTTAGCATGGGTTTGGGAGAGAGGAGGTCTAAGGGGCCCATAGTGCCTCAAACACAGCAGGGCCACTTCTGCCCCCTCCGCCCCCCACTTGTCTCTGATGTCACATACAGAGCCCAATTACCTCTGCCTCTGTTCTCCTGGTCAGTAAACCAATTCTGCTGGCCCCTCCTCACTCCGCCTCCCACCTGGATCAGGACTATTTGTTTTTGCACCCAGTCTGCAGGATTAGGACCTCTTCTGCCCAGCCCCACCTCCTCTGCATCTGTCTCCCACCCCCAGGGACACCACTTGAAACTTGCACAGAACCAACGCTCCCCCCAGAGGCAACTGGTTCCTATGGCACCAGCCAACAGTCATACCTGGAGTGCGGGCTGCAGTCGCTCCGAGACAAGCGGGCACATTATGTGTCCCTCCCTACTTCCATCATGTCACCGGGTGCCTGTATCTTACACCCTGTTCACCCCCACCTACATCCAACAGCAGGCCATCAGGAAAGTGGGAGCGGAGAGGGAAAGGAGACCTTGTGAGGGCAGAGAGGCTGGGGCAGAATGGGATTCCTAGCCAGGTCTTGGCTGGTGGCAAGCTCTTCCCCAGGCCCTGTCTACCTAGCCCTGCAACTGCAGGTGCCTCCACAGGAAGGGTGGGAGTCCCCTGGGCCCCCCTTTCAAGGGCTGGAGGTAAATTGCAGCCAGACCCTGTATGAGTTCTCTGTGGCTGTGAGTGGGAGAGAGGAGGTCTAAGGGGCCCATAGTGCCTCATTAAGGTTTCTCCCTCCTCCCTGGGGTCTCTGGTGGCGTGAATGTGGTGCCAAGTGAATTGGCTGGCGCCTTTGCCCTTCCTAGAGACAGCAACAGGGCCCTGGGGAACAGTAAGGGAGTGACTGTCGCATGGGTGCCTCCAAAGCTCTGGGGCTCTCGGACCAACCCCTAGAAACAGCCAAGAGTCAGCAGCTACAAAAATAAAGTTTATTTCTCATCCAAAATTGAGGCCAGGATTGAGGGCCGTGGGAGCCGGGAGCCATGAGGCGTGTGCAAGAAGTCAGGGCCCTGAGTGCGACCATGAGGGGAGGACGGGCTAGGCTGAGGCCAGGGGCAGCGGTGGGGAGAGAGTGCTGCAGGGACTGGTTTCCAAGTTGCTGGCAGAAGAGACTGCCCTGAGACAGCCTGCAGAGAGAAGCAGATATTGGTTAGTACACCATGCTCAGGGGTGGAAGCACAGTGTTGGATCAAGATGCGCTGTGTATGTGTGGTGGTGGTGGGGGACCCGATGTGAGGCTTCTTGGGTGGTTCAAGTCCCAACAAGGATCTCCAACCACCCCCTCCCCCCAGGTGACACTGGGCCATCCCCAGAACGGAGCCCCTGTCTTCTCTCCTGCTGTTGACTCACCCCCAGGGGCGCACTGGCTCAGGCCTCAGCCTGCCTTTCCCTAGTTGGATCGGGCGCCCAGGCTCACCCTCTAAACTGCCCCCCACCCCTGCCATCTCTACCTGCCTCCAAGTCCTGGGGCGGAAGTAGCACCCTCGTCTTCCAGCCCGGTGGGCACCGGAGTCCAATCCCCCGCCTGCGGGCTCCCACAGGCCTTGGCCGGCTCCCCTCACAGAGGAGGAAAAGGGAAGGTTGGGGGAAGGGAGCAGAGTCAGGGTGACCATGCTTTGTCTACGAGTCCAGAGAATCCAGCAGAGTGCACCAGGCCAGCTGGTGGCTGCTGACCCTGAGGCAAGAGGCCAAGGGGCCCAGCTCTTCCCTGAGTGACAGGCAGCAGTGCCCACCCCAGGCAGTTGTGGGCCCAGGGCCGGTGTCAGTGGAAAGTGTCTGCTCTGGATCTGAGGCTTGGGGCTGAAGGTGAGGCCTCTGGTACTGGGGAGGGTCCCAGAGGGTCTGGCTGAGAGGGACAGGGAGACAGCCTAGGGGACCTAGAGGCTGGGGCAGCAACCCCTATCTCGACTGTCCCCACACTGGCCGGGCAGTGGACTTCAGCAAGTGTAGTATCCTGGAGATTGGGTGGTGGTCCAGAAAGATGGGGAAAGAGGCCAGGTGGCCTTGGCTGGGGGCAAGGAACAACGGGGATCTCTGAAGGCCCAGCTGTGGAGGAGACCGGGGGACCCAGCCTGGCTTGCAGTAGGCTCATCATGTGCCGGAGCTCCTGGCTGAGCTGAGACACTTCCTGGTTGAGCCGGGAGATCTGTGGAAACAGGCCAAGTAGTTTCACGGGTGCCACCACAGTCACTGCCCTCCTGTGGACATGCACACCTACTCACACACGCACACAAGCGCACCCCCCACACACACACACATAAACACACCACAGTCACTGCCCTCCTGTGGACATGCACACACACACACATACAAACACATACACACATAAAAACACACATGTAAACCAGCGGTTTTCAACCTGTGGGTTGTGACCCCTTTGGGGGTCGAACTACCCTTTTACAGAGGTCACCCGATTCATAACAGTAGCAAAATGACAGTGATGAAGTAGCAACGAAAATAATTTTATGGTTGGGGGGGGGGTCACCACAAATTGAAGAACTGTATTAAAGGGTCGCGGCGTTAGGAAGATCGAGAAACACTGACATTCACACAAACGCACATAAAGATACACACACACATAAACATAGACACTCATACACATACACACAAATACATAAACACATACGCACAAAGACACATGTAAACACATACATATAAACACACATGCACATAAACACAAACACACATAAACATATGTAAACACGCACACCAACACACACTCACACATATACATATAAATACATAAACATGCACACATACAGACGCACACAGACACACACTGCAGCTGGCGAGATCACTCAGAAGGCTGCTCGCTCGCTCGCGGGCAGAAGACAGAAGGAGGGACGGTTGTCCAGGTGTAAACCCCTAGCCTCTCGCCCAAAAGGATCTGGGACAGCCGGTGGTGCCTCCCTCTGCCTCTGCCTTATGAAAAGTGCAGCCTCAGGGCTGCGCAGCTGGGAAGGAAGGGGTCGGCCTTGCCCTGGGCGGTCCCACCACACCAGCTCAAGGAGGTCATGCCCAGGTTCTCCACCTTCAGTGCTTACCCAAGTGGACTGAGAAGACTGGCCAATGCAGACTTCTAGGTTCCACCCCAGACCTCTAAATAAGGTGAAGCCCAGGAGTCTGTATTTTAACAGGTTCTCTAGGTGGTTCTGAGAGACAGACAAATAGTCAGTGGGAACCCCTGGCCAGGCAGACAGGGAGAAATGAGGGGGCCTGAGGCAGGGAGCAGCAGCAGGGCAGGCCTCCCATCTCCCAGAACATGGCCAGCTCCAGCCTGAGCCCCAGTCCCTCTGGGAAACCCGGTGTTTATTAGAGCAGAGGGAGGGCGGCTCCCAGGGGCTGGGCTGGGCCACTCTGGCGGCGACAGCACTGCAGTCCCAGGGGGCAGAGGGAAAGGCGGAGCCACAGCCGGCTGGATCCGGGGGCTTCAGCGTCCAAGTCCCCTAGGTGAGGCCTCACAGCCCGCCCTGTCCTCACTGCACCTTCTCGCGCCATCTGCTCAGCCCTCACTTCCCAGGGCCAGGGTGAGGGACTGGTGACATGCTAGGCTGTTCCCCCGGGGAGGTGGCAGCCGGCTTCTGCCAGAGGGCACAGCCTGGGAAAGCACCCGGAGCAGGTCAACACTTCTCTGTAGTCCCTGTGGGGTGGAGTGACTCAAGGCACTGACTGGTTCACGCCGGCAGAGGCAAGGAGCGAGCTGAAAGGCCCTCTTTCCTAGACGGGCGGGCGGTCTGAGCCTGGCCCAGATCCCCCATCCTTTCGGGCTCAGAGGCCGAACGCTCACCTTCTCCATGTTCCCATAAAGGAGCTGGAGCTGACAGAGGTGATGGACTTGCCCCAGGTTGCAAGGTCACCTTGACCACTGGCATTCAGACCTCTGCTCCCAAAGCCTACATGCTTTTCACATCTACCAATCTCTGATCCCAAGATACTCTCCAAGTGAGAGGGGAAGGGGCTGTCCCCACGCACCTCCTGGTTCAGCCTGCACACCTTCTCCTTCACCTCTTCAGCCTCAGTGGCCAGCTCCTGGCTGGGCCTGGTCCCTGCAGGCAGAACGGGGTGGGGGCGTGCAAGGAACACTGACGGCAGAGCCCGCAGCCTGGGCTGGGCCTTGGGCCCCTAAACTCACCTCCCACCCACAGGTGTGGGATGCCTTTTAAGAATTGCACTACTTGAAGAAAGTTGATGGTGGCCGGCTATCAAAAGATATAGCTTAAAGGCTTGAAGATAAACAAGTGGCCATCTAGCTCAGAAGCAACAAAGCCCACATGGAAGTACACCAGCCTGTGCGGTTATGAGGTGTCAAAGGGATCAGGTATCATCAGAACAAAAAATCATATCATTGTGAATGATGGGGGGAGTGCAGAGTGGAGACCCAAAACCCATTTGTAGGCCACTGGACATCCCCTTACAGAAGGGTCTCGGGGAGAAGATGAGCCAGTCAGGGTGTGATGTAGCAACAATGAAAAATACAACTCTCCTCTAGTTCCTAAATGCTTCCTCCCCTCACCACTATCACAATCCCAATTCTACCTTACAAATCAGGCTAGACCAGAAGATGTACACTGGTACAGATAAGAACTGGAAACACAGGGAATCCAGGGCAGATGATCCCTTCAGGACCAGTAGTGTGAGTGGCGATACCGGAGGGTAGAGGGAGGGTGGGGTGGAAAGGGGGAACTGATTAAAGGATCTACATATAACCTCCTCCCTGGGGGGCAGACAACAGAAAAGTGGGTGAAGGGAGATGTCAGAAAGGGCAAGATATGACAATATAATAATTTATAAATTATCAAGGGTTCATGAGGGAGGGGAAAGCGGGGAAGGAGGGGAAAAAATGAGGAGCTGATGCCAAGGGCTTAGGTGGAGAGCAAATGTTTTGAGAATGATGAGGGTAACGAATGTACAAATGTGCTTTACACAATTGATGTATGTATGGATTGTGATAAGAGTTGTATGAGCCCCTAATAAAATGATTTAAAAAAAAAAGAATTGTCTCATTCTATGCGGAGTCCTGTTGGCATAGTGCTTACCCATTGGGTTATCAAATCAAACCCACAGTGGCCCTGCGGGAGAAAGAGGAGCCTTCTACCACTTTTTACACAGTTACAGCCTCTAAGAAGCCCACGAGGCAGTTCTACCTGGTCGTATGAGTCAGCGTGGATTCGATGGCAGGGAGTCAGATTTGGTTTGGTCCTCAGACACGCCCACCCACTTTTTTCAGACACAACCCCAGAGGCCCCTCCTCTAGGAGGGAGACGTAGGGGTACTCCCTCTCCTACCACAGCCCCTGGTCTGGTCTCAGTCACGGTGCTTAGCACCAGGCCTGCCGTTCCTTGTCTGAACCGGGTGAGCTCAAATGGGCCATTGCTCAACGGGGAGCAGGGGCCAGGTCTCCTGAGCAGGTGAGCCCCTACTTGGGGTGGGATGCAGAAATGCACGAAGACTGAATGAATGTGTGAATGAATTGCAGTCCAAGGCTGGGTCCTTACCGGGAGGAGGGACCTGTGGGTGGAGCCTGGGTGCCTCAGCCTTCCTGCTGAAGCGGAAGGTGGGGGCCTCTGCGGTGTGGCCAGAGTCCTCGATGCCGTCCACTATCCTGGTGGGGGGCGGGGCTCATCAGGCCCCTGGGAGGGAGGGGCCATGCAGGGCAGGCAAGGAAATGGGGGCCTGAGGCGCAGGGAACTGGGGGAGGAGCAAAGGTCTGAGAGGGATGGGGTGTCAAGCTGTGGTGGGACCAGGAAGGGCAAGGTGGGCAAATGGGGAGACAAGGAGCAGCGCTGGTCCGAATACTAGGGACAAGGGAGCCCAGAGAAGGTTCTGGAAGCCCGCAGGCGTGTGGGGAAGACAAGGGAAGCTGGCATCTCACCGGGGACTGAGGTCTGGAGGTCCGAATGTTCCCAGTGGAGGAATGAGCAGTTGTGGGGGCTTCCAGGCAGCCGAGCCCCTGGGAGGGCCATGTGGGGAGGGGCTGCGGCCCTGGCCAGCCAGGGCAGGGGAAGAGGAGGAGGACAGGGAGGGGGAGGAGACAAGGGCTGAGAAAGGGGGCAGCTCCTCGCCCAGAAGGCTGACCAGGGAGCCTCGAGGCCGAGGCCGTGCTGGGCTGAGGTTGGGCAGCAGGAGGGGCCTGCGGGGTCTGGAACCAGCCCCTGGCTCTGCCCCACCCTCAGCCTCTGTGATGGACGGCAAGGTCTTGTCTGAGGAGGAGCCGAGTCTTTCCGAGTGGGACTACAAGGGCAGAGGGGGCAGCTGATGCCCAAAGGTAGTGGACAGCAGCCCCTTCATGAAGCCCCAGCTGTCGCTGTCAGATGCCACTCCCCAGCCCCTCTCCCTGAGCAGAACAACCAAGGAAACATGTCCCCATGTCCCGCCTTCTCCCGGGTGCAACCTCACCCCCGACCCAACCCCCTCCCAACAGTGTTACCTGTGAGAGGCGAGGGGACCGGGCAAAGCGGCTGAGGCCCTGTGGGGATATGGGGGTGGCGGTGAGCTTATTCACACCTCCCACTCCCCTAGAGGGGTGCCTCCCAATTCCACTCAACAGTGTGGTCCGGTTGACAGTATGGGGCCTTTCTGTGGACGTGAGTCACAGATACCCTCACGTCCAACTCCGAGAGCGCTCAAGTGGCAGAATCAGGCTGACAAGCAGCAAAGGACGCAGACCCACAGCCCAAGAC